ATATAAAAAAATAATTAGCATAATATTTTCTAGTTAAAAAACATGAATATCAATTGTAACAACCAGTACACATGGTCCACTGCAGCTTTGACCTACTTTCTGTTCAATTTTTTGTTTATATGCGTTTTCTAAACATTGCCTGTTTTTTAATGAAATTCTCTAATAAAACCACTTATTAAATAACATAATACTGAGTAACCCAACATCTTTTGGAAACTACTTCACTTGTTTTAATAGTTGTTACTCCAAACACATCTACTCATGAGCTACTTCTGGTGTAGGTTCATGACAACTGACATTTTAATAGACTGCAAGAGATTAACAAAGGTATGCCCACATGTTTTATTTAAAAAATAAACAACAACTAAGTGTTTTCCAGCATCATAGCAGAGTCACCCTGCTTCAGATGCCTTTGGAAAACATGTAGTAGCATATTTTCTGACTTTTTGAAGAATTTAACTAACCACCAGGACACTTTAGCTGCACAAATTGCTGCAAATTTCTCAGATAATAAATTACACTCTGGGAATCCATCATTGCCTAATGACTTTTTAAGACCCCATAAAAACCCAGTGTTTTAAAAATAAAGGTGAATAAAACACTGTGTGCATAGTATTTAATATTATTTAAAATGCTGCTTAAAAGTAAATTATTCCACTCTAGTTCTTTTTCTCAACACGGCAATTATCATCATCTGGGTAACAATCATCAACGATATCCAATTACATCGCCCTATTACCCATGCCTTGTTAATATGTCTGTTACAAGCTTCAAATAGAAACATAAGGTGTCATTTACAAGCTTCTGATGTCTGTGTTGTACTAGAAAGGCCAAAAGATGGTCATGTGCACCAGCTTATTGCTGACATACTATTAGAACTTTCACGGTTTGCAGACGTTAGAGATAATTGTAGAGTTGTTTTTAGCCTTGTATTTTGACCAGGTTTTGACATTTGGCCTAAGCTGAAGGCCTAGCTCTAATAGTCATGGTTCAGCACTGTCGAATACAGGCACCTGGATCACTTAATTTGACTACTTGAGTACCATTGCACATCCCCATCATGTGATGTAAATGTTTCATAGCTAGTTTTTATTTCTTCTAGAATGCTAATCACATCTAAGTCTTTTAGGAACCTTTATTTCTAAGCATGTGCTTTGGAGTCAAAGTCAGCAGTGAGCAGTCAAAGGCACATCCTCATGTTCCACTCCATCTTATAATCAGGCAATTTATGAAATTGTGTCACAGCGCTGGCAGCTTAAATATTTTGCTGTTGTCTCACTTGGCCCACTAAACTGGCAGTGTCTGACAACAGATATCAAACCAGCACAGATGCTGTCTCACTATCATGCGGTAAACACCAGTAGGTTAGGATCAGGAGGAGGAGATAAGGCGTTTTCATTCTGTTGTTTCCTCTTATTTTGCGGTTGTTCGCACTCGGCACATTTGCGCGGAGGTTTTAAGGACGTGTGATCCCTCTGGAGTTTAAACAGAACGAGCCTCCTGCTGCGTGCGCTCCTGTTGCGGAAATGGGCTCTTCATTTCCAGTCCTTTCTGAATTGCACATGCTGAGAGATGCTGTCTGCACTGTTACTGTCTTCTGTTCCACATGGCCTTCACTTCCACTCATGCTTCATGCATATTTGAGTGGAGAGTGTTGTATGAGTGGCAGAAGGCCAGAAGGAAGGCATCCTCCTCTGCTCATCGTATACCGTCACTGCTGCTGCAGGTTCTGCTCTAGCATGATCCCTCTGACATCCAGCTTAGCCACTGCCCTTCACTTTAGATATCACTAGATACAGATCTACAAAAAGCAGTCCCACCCCCAATTCTAGTTCTTTATCACCTTCCCTTCCACCTCCACAAACATTGTACTCTGTTATACATACATAATGAGTGCTTATTTGCAAAAGAAAGTGTAGGGCACAGCACTTTTAAAAATGGAATGAACCAGGGCTGCCTTTCCTGAAAGCATCTTAGCACAACGATTTTTAAGTGGTAGCGCAAGCATCGCACTGAACACTCTCTCTACCAGTAAAGATTATCTTAGTTTTTTTCTGCTCAGTAAACATTTATTAGCTCAGGAAAAGGCTAATACTACAATATATACAAATAATAGTAACATAATAAGTAGTGTTTTTAAGAATGTGTTCATTTAGCCATTTTCAGACCTGTCCTCATGGCAGCACAGTGTTACTTCTAGTTATCATCCAATACATGGTTTGGCTAAGCAATATTTAACTATGTTAAATCAGGTGTGCTGGTGATGGAATTGAACAAATCTAGGTGATGGCTCAGGGCATCCAGGAGGGAGGGAGGGAGCTCGGGTAGGAGGGAAGGAGGGAGGGAGTTTGGGTGGGAGGGAGGGAGTTCGGATGGGAGGGAGGGAGTTTGGGTGGGAGGGAGTTCGGGTGGGAGGGAGTTCGGGTGGGAGGGGTGGGAGGGAGGGAGTTCGGGTGGGAGGGATGGAGCTCGGGGGGAGGCTTTTATTTGTATGTGTGTTGTCATTGTTCATCTTGTTTTCTGTTTAGTATTAAAAATAAAAAGTTGTTCACGAAACTATCTCAAAGAAATTATGGTTGCCTTTTACTGTATTTATGTTTATTTGCATGTATTCTTATGATATGTGGTGTTTTTCAAGCACAAACACAGCTATTGCTGAGATAAATTGCTTTAAATCATGAGACATTTGCACAACACTGTATCTGCATTAACAGTCTCATCATAGCTTTCTCCATGCTTTATTTATGTTGTTTACGATGTCCTTTGTGCAGTCTAATTACATTATTCACTCAGCTGTATCCTGTAATTAAGCTATTTGCATGGGACCTACTGTTAATGCACTCAGCCTTCTTTTATACTCATAGGAAGTTAAGCTCTCTAAACAGCATAACATCATAACAACATAAAGCTAAATAGATAAATAGCAATTATTGTTAATAGAATAATGCTATTTATGTGCCTTAATGCATCACAATGTGTCAGAGGACCAGCTTACAGTCCAGTAACTATTGAAGAAAGAGGATTTAAGAGCTAATATTCTGGAGAACTCGAAGGCACATTTATAGACTAGACGTAAAAGAAGTTTATATGGTGATCAGTGATGACTGATGCACTGAATAAAATACTGTTAAGGATGTGGGGGCACTGCACTTACATTGCTAAATCATATGGCATTTGCTTTCTTTGCATTTTATTTTTAATGCTACGCTGAATGGATGAGTTATGATGCAATCTCAGACCGGATCATGAAATGATATGGTTCACTTTAGAGTCTAACTGGAGCCAGGCGTTTATTTCATCTGGCCTCAGTTCCCGCAGGTGAAGGGTAGTCCATTGATATGGTATTGATTGAGATGGAGAGTGCTTTGGAGGTCTGGATGTGTGTTTGGGCCATGTTACAGCAGCGTACCCACACTGTCCCTGCTGGATTATTGGACGCGGCAATAAACTCACTCAGCCTGCGTTTACTGTACGTATCCAGAAAACCATAATGTCTCATTATGTTTTTATGGCTGGGTTTTTTCTTTTCTCTGCAGCCGCCCTTCATTTCTTCTCAGTACAGTGTTAGCTGCTTTCAGCTGCCTGTTGATGTGAAAAAAGGAGAACTCTTAAAGCATTCTCAGCAATACTCTTTTAAACAGAGAATTTAATGGATTCTAGTGACAGACACATAGCAGGGCTGTGCCGCAAACCTCTGTGAATGAATGTTAATAAAGATTTAAGTTTTCGATCGCAACATTGGGAAGTGTGAATGACACCTTAATGTGTGTTTTACGTCTTTCAGAAATATCTGCAGTGTTAACACAGCTTAAGCATCTCAAACTCTCCCCCAAAAAAAGAGATGTTTCTAGATACAACTAATTTCTGCTTTTCTGCTTTGAATGTTGAAAATGGACTTTGCCCATCGTCCATCTGCTGAGGTTAACCCTGTCCCTTCCCCATGTGCCAAGTCCCCGGCCGTTGGAGTGATTTCTAATGGGAGTCTATGCAGGCAAATCCCATAATCCATCTGTAGTAGGTCAGTGTCCTGGAGCCTCTGCCACTCAGGTGATAGAACAGTCCCCACCACCTGCTTTTTTGAAAAACCTCTTTTCATGATTGCTTTTCTGTTTATTTTCCATTTAAGCAGGGCTGGGTAAAAGGAGGATATGGGACCTAAGTAGAACACACCACATGAAACACACCAGCACATTTCCTGTACTTTTTATTGGTAAAGTTGCAATATAAACAACATTATTTGCACTTTAATGTGCTTAAGTGGTATTTTCAATTCATAAATGAAAACTCAGCTGTCTATTCAAGTAACATCAATAAAATGAAGTGCTACATCATAAATTGGAGGTAACTGGCTGTTTAACACCATGAGTCACATAATTATGCTGTGATGTTTTGGGACTGGTGTAGCAGTAGCATTCAAAAATGGCACAAGTGCACTTACCTGTCTCACATTGTTTACACCATAAAATTGCAGCACAGATCTGCCAAAATAAGTTGACTGACTGGGTGTTTAGAGTAAAAATCGGTTGATTCTGAGCTTTGCTGATTCCAATCAATGTACTATATCAGTATAGTGTGGTGTCTGCCACGTGGAGGGCAGTGGTATTACCCACTATACTGTACCAACCACCATTTTAATCAAGTAAATTTGAAGCACATAGAGGCCTACATAAAGAGTAAATGTTCTGTATACTGTTAAATACATATTGTTTGCAGGGTTTCTTTCACAGTATCATACAGTCTAATCATGCAGCATATTGTCTTTTCTATTTTAATAACCATTTTCAAACATGTCACTAGTGGCTCTTCAGTTATCTAGATATTCATATTAAAAAATATGGAATTTTAAGATATACAAAAAAAATGGTCTGCTCCTAGTCTGTTAAAGGGCACAATTTCTTTTTTAAATCATGGTCATAATATGAGTGTTATACATTAAGATGGTTAATGTGTAGGTTGCTGTTAATGGTAGTGAATGTTTATAGCTTGTGTCTTATTTTCAGATGGAGAGAGGCAGACGGAGGGGACTGACGCCAGTCGTAAGAGAGACCCACGCTCCTCAGATGGCCATCGCAAGAGTGAGGATACCAGCGACAGCCACGAGGAAGACGCAGCGGTAAGTAATTAAAGAACAGAGCCAAACCTCAGGGGCTCTGAAATTAAAGAAAACTGTACTGAGTGATATCCTGAGAACAAAACTAATTACACTGCCTGTCACAAGTTTGGGGACACCTGGCTTTTTTAAAATGTTTAATAAATGCATGCATTCTTCACTGGCTTGCATTAACTTACCACATTAAAGACAGGTTTATTTTGAGGAAAGCAATACCACATGTAAACATTCGTGACAATATCTGTGCCAGTATTAACTTGGAAATAATGACAAAGCCCACACATTTTGTTCCTTTGGTGTGAAGTCAGCACTCATCAGCACTCAAACCATCCAGCTGTTTAAACCACTTTTGGACAAAAAAAGAGTTTGTGTGCGCTTTTAAAGGGACATTTCAAACCTACAAATAGCATTTATTGTATTATTTACTGTGTTATGTGGTATTTTATAGTGCAACATTGTATCTCACCACCTTGTTAGTTTGACCAGATTTATGATTTTGTAACCTTTTTAGGTTTTCATCCATCAATGTTCTCTTACTACAATACTCAGCATGCATTTCACAAATACATCATGCAACCATTGTGAATCCTCACCACTATGATAAAGAAATGCACTGATGTAGCAGATAAAGAATACAGATGTGATATTTGGCATCCTAGCAGTAATGCTAGCTCTCTGGTTTCCTACTGCATTAGCCAGCTAGCAGGACAAAAATGAAAGCATTTCAAATAGCCCACCTTCATGGTTCCACCCCCAGGTTCTTGAAGTTTTTAAAAGTTTAAAAGTTAAACATACATCATCTGAAGGAGATTTCCCTGGTCTTCAGACTGGAAAATCTCACTGGGACTGTTGTGACACCATTGTAGGAGGCAAGTAGGAGTGCTTACAACAGATATAGCAATGGTAGTTTTTTTTTTTGTGCCTTTTTAACAATAGTTTGGAAAAGAGAACTGCCAAATCATTATTTAGGCAAAATCTACTTTTCATATCAAGGAAAGCGAACATAAAGCTGAGTGTTAAACTTACCCAGCATAAATAGCTGTTTAAGGTCGACAAAAACTTACTGCTGGTATTTTTTACTTAATTGAACAGTAACAGACAAAAACAGTGCTTGAAAAATTTCAAAAGTAGGCAAGGTGTGCCCAAACTTTTGACAGAAAGTGTATACTTCAGTGTGGTTAAGCAGTGATTTTGGCTTCTTCTAAAGCATTTTGAATATTAAACAGACAGTTTAAGTGCTCCCAACCCCCTAAATACTCTGATAAGCCTGATGGATGAAATGCTGAAAAGCCGAGTGTGTCAGTTTGATGTGCTGTGCTGTCCCCTGTGTCCTGCAGATTGGGTATCAGGTCAGGGCCACCAGCAGCGTTTGAGGACGTACAGTGGGGAGAGAGGGAGCGAGATGTGCTCTGGTAGCTTTAAATGATTGATAGCCTGCTCCTCCTCCTCCGCATGCTCTAAAAAGCCACGCACCGCATTTCCATACCTCCTACTACAGTGAGGGGCCGCGAGCTTCTAGCTCACGCTCACGGTGCTCTCTGTGACACGCAGCCACTCAAAGCGCACAGTAGTTCACTCATAAAAACATCTGTGAATCCCCCAGGAGCCTTCATAGAGCCCCCCCACCCCCTTCTCTGCTCCGTGTAGGATTAAGTTAGATGTGCGGTCATGTGTGCAGAAACTCATCAAAACTTGGAACAAATCAGAGAACAGAAATCTTAATTATTATCAAACAGCAGCTCTGTGGTTTTCCTATGCCTCCTCAGATTAATACTTAATTCTGCAATATTAAAGTGGAGTGGATGGGGGATTTAAGCAGTCAGAACAGAAAGGAGATTATACTCTCGATGATGTGCAGACAAAGCAAAGTTAAAGCACAGATGCCTCCGTCATTACTGATTCATATAGACAGAGGTGACTGTAGCTTAAGACTCATTCTGGACTCTTTATGATGTACATTAAGCTTGGACAGTAATGTGAGCTTAGACAAATGATAATCGACTGCAGAATGACTGCAATAAACTATATAATCCTCATTCAATGTGAGTTGTAGAGCTTCACCCTATAGCTTGCATTTTTTTTATGGTAATATAATTACCACTGAATTACTCAATGGGTTAGCTTCAAATATTACTCAATAAATGTAATGATAGCTATTGCTAATGCTTTTTTGTGTTTGTTTGGTTGGAAACTAAAATATTGCCAAACTGGCATGTTGGCACTATTCTTCTGGACAAGCGAGTCCTTTTACTCTCTGTGAGAGAGTAGATCTCAAGTACTGAAGTTTTTGATGAATATCCAGTTAACCACAGGGAAGGAAAAACAATGGATAAAATACTGCAGGGCTGTAGGGTTACCTTTTTAGCTGACAGCACTTGTTTTTGAGCTAATGAGCTAACACAGTTAACAAGTGTCACACTGGCTGCTGATGGAGAGTCATTTTCTTCTACACAAGGTATTTTCTTCTCAGTGGATGTTGTGGCAATGTGCTGTTTTTCAGAGAAATATATTAACATTGTTTCTGAGTATCGCTGCTGTGGGAACAAAACCTCGTATCTCCAAAATGATAACTTTTCAGGATAAGCACAAAATATACCTTACTTTTAATGTAAGTCAATAAAACTAGACTATTTTAAAAGGCATTTTGTGCTGTTTCTTTTGATTCATTCATCATGAAGTATACATGAAGTATACAAAGAACAACAGGCATTTTCAAATGTCAGAAAATGAAAACGGTTTGGAGATACAAGGTTTTGTTCCGAGAGCAGCAATTTTGTCATTGTTGAAAGAAGTCCTCGTATCTGCAGAACGATAACTTCATAGGAGAAAGTCATTTTGGAACAGCTCTGTTGGTCCATTCATCAGAAAATGGACATTAAGTTGCTATTTTTTAATGGTGTGAAAAACAAAAACCAAATTATGAGGTTTTGAAATGACAGCAATGATTTTCTAGTGTTCAACTACTGTGAAGCTGTTGTCAATATACTATTTATGTTAGGGTTATTTTTAAAAGGTCTTTAATAGAATCACTGCTTGAGTCTTTATGTTGTAGAAATTCCTATGTAGTTTGAAATTGCAGTGACTTTTGATGGGATGAGGGTATGGAACCAGGGCAAAAGCTGGGCGTCAAAAATTGTATTCAGTGTGTTGGAGAAAGGGAAAGTGGGAGTATTTCAAACAAGTTGATGAAGATTGCCTGATTATTATGTATTTATCAATTACTGCGACAATCTAAAACGATCTATAACAAGCTGTGTCCCAATTTAGGGGCCGCATCCTTTGAAGGACGCAGTCTACCAAGCCGTGTCCTTCGAAGGCTGCTTAGACCCGCGAAGGCTGAACTGAAGGATGCAGCCCTTGAATTGGGACACAGCTTTTGTGATGGCATTTACATGACATTGGTGGCCTTTGTTGGGTGCGCTGAAATGACATTTGCCTATTTGAATACAAAACAGATCACTTACTATTATATTACTGATAAATATTAAAGATGTTCATCCCTAAAATAGTCCCTTTTCCCTTTCTTATTCTCAGTGTCAGTCATGGGTTTGTGGGAAAAATCTTGAAAAGAGAAATGTTTTTATTTGTGCCTGATGTGATCTGTGTTCTTCAGCGAGTTTAAAGAATTGTTACTACAGCAGAATTAAGTTAAGCTCAGTTGTGGGTAGGAGAAAACACTGTATTTCTCCCATACTGAGAAACATAAACAGGTTAGGTAGCGCCAGTGATACCAGGTTGCTCTCCATAGCTTCAGACAAGTGTCTGACTCTTGTGCTCTTGTCTCCATGGAAACACATAGAATAACCAGCATGCTCTTGGAGGATCATTCCCAGCCTGACTCTGGCTAACACGGAGGGTGGATCTGTTGGTGTGATGGTGGACAGGCGTGTATGATTGCAACAGCACATTTTAGCCTCAGGGATGCACCAGTGTCTCTGAACAGCATGTGGGTCTCCTTCATTCATTATTAACCAGGCCATTTACCAGCTCTCTGTTCATGCTGGGCCTCTGAATATGGAACACACACACTTTCGCACAGGCACTTCCTACAGTATTAGACTACAGTATGAGAAGCAATGAAAGGTGCTGTGTGGTGAAAAGTACTGATAAGTTAATCCATTTGTAAGGCACGTTTGTGGATTTGGGATAAAAGAGCTCTGTAAATGTTAAAAGGAAATTCCACTCACTGTTCAACAGTTCTGTATAATTAAATAGTGAAGATGTAAACAAAGTCATTAAGAGTGGATTGATGTGAAATGCTCTGTTCAAGAAGGATTAGAGTCAGAATTGTTAACAGTGGTGGTGAAAGGAACCAGACATTCCAGTATGTTTAATGCCTCTCAAAGCAGTCACACAGAATATAATGAGACATTGTTTTATAATAGTTTTGCACTAATCTTTTCACCTAAAATGTAATTTAATATGCATGCAGGGCATCATAAGGCAAAATGGTACCCAAAGAACATTTTTTTTAAATTTACCACTTTTGCCATTATCATTACATATAAAACTCATAAGACGTGTAGGTTCACTGGTCATTTTGGATAATAAATAAAATTTGTGTTGTAGATGCTGCAACCCCTGGTTCCTGGTTCCTATCACCACTTCTTAAGGAAATCTGAATAGCTAAGTGTCTTCACAGTCTACCACTTCACATCAGGCCACTCGGAGTGGCTTTATTTACATCTCAAAGATTCAATTAGGCGGGCTTTTTGCAAAATTGATGAAATTCCCCTACATTCAGTGTCCACTTTATTTAAAAAATACCTCACACTTCCACTGGCACTTTATTTGGAAATTATAGGTCCATTATACATGCAAATAATATATAAAATATAAATTCACAGGCTAGTAGTAAATTATTTGTATTACAATTTTTTTATTTTTAGTATTACAAATTGCATGATCAGGAAACAGTGAGTGAAAAGTAGAATTCTTGAAATATTTACATGGATTTCAGAATTTTTCAGTATTTGGTTTCTCCTTCTTCTTGCTTTAATGAC